CCCACAGGGATGGCCGAGCATGGGGAGCCTTTTCTGGGTTTATTTGTGTGAAATGATCCCAGCTGTCATTGGCTCGGCTCTTTAAAGTTGTTGTTTTTTTGCATCCAGAAAACTACATGGATCGAGGGACTGACATGGGAAACAACTGTCCACAACCCACAGATGACATTAAGGTGTGTTTGTTTTCAGATGATTGTTTTTTTATTAGAGGTGGATCCGGTCTAAGACTGGCTACAAGAGGCTATAAAAAAGTGGCCTGGGTAACTTGTTTTGGACCACAGGAGCTGGAAAACTTGGAAATGACTAACAGGCACTCATAGAAAAGGGAGTCATCAGAGCCCAGTTTAGGCAGCAGTGATGCTGACGTGGAAAATGCTCAAAATCTCCCCTTCTTGTTCTAATTTTTAAAGAAAACTGGCACCGATTGAATCCAAATCTGACTCGGAGCCGATCCCAAAACGTTTAGACGGCTCCGACCCATGAATCTAACCAACCTGCCAAAGGAGGGCAGACTTCATGACTGAAAAAAAAGAATGTTTCTTTATGTTTTATTCTCACAAACCCACTCTTAAGTCAACTTTGTCTTTTCACATTCACCGATTCCAGGGTTGCTCTTATTGGCGGAGTCTTGAGTAGGATTTAGGAAGACAGTTTAAGGAAGGAGGCAACAGGTTCAAGGTGTTTACTGGGCCGTTGAATTCTCCAGATCTCGGTGCATTCGGGTGTCTGTGGGATGTCTGAGGTGAAGGAGTCTGATCCATGGAGAGCCTCCCATGAGAGGGCCGAGCTTTGACAGAATAAGACGGTTTATGCTGTAGAAAGGAGGCCCATTCTTAGGATTAGGATGTTTACAGCTGTGTCATGTTCCTCAAAATAGAACTAAATCCTTTTTTTTTGTAGTTTCCTGACATAGAAGAGGCCACGGTTTCCTTTTCGATCAAAGAGGAGAGTCCAGACGAGGCGCTGTGGATCAGCGACTCCTCCAGAGGCGCAGCGCTGCAGTACCACGGGGCCCCGGGGAGCCGGCTGCTCCACCCCCAGGCCGCCAGGCAGCAGAAGGCCTCCGACTTCGCCGTCCCGTACGCCGCCGACCTCAACGGCCTGCAGTTCGCCATCAAGACGGAGAAGGAGGAGGACGGGCGGGGCTTCCGGCTGGACGGCTGCCAGCACCCGGCGGGGAAGCAGCCCCCGGCGGCCGCCGCCGACTTCTGCGTGGACGAGCGGGAGAGCCAGCTCTGGTCGTCCATCATGGAGGGCGGAGACATCGACGCCGGCTTCCCCGACTTCTCCAGCGTGGTGGAGGAGTACTCCAGCGCCTTCTCCGAGCACCCGGACGCCAACGCCGCCCCCAACGCCGGCGCCCCGAGGCCGTGCAACGGCGTTTACGGCGGCGAGTTTCAGAAGGAGGCCCCGCAGCTGTCCGGATTCCAGCCGGAGAAGCAGAAGGAGCCCGTGTACCCGCCCAGGGGTGCGCCGCACGGCCAGCCGGAGGGGGGGGTGGATGGGGGGGGCGGGGAGCGCCCGGCGGCCGGGTTCCCCCCCCCACAGCAGCAGCGGGCGGCGGGGGCGGCGGCGGCCCGGGGGGGCCACGCCTGCTCGCAGTGCGGGAAGTGCTTCAGCCGGCTGCACCAGTTCAAGCTGCACCAGCAGAGCCACAAGCGCAAGCGCGCCTTCTGGTGCTCGGTGTGCGGCAAGAACTTCCAGTGCTCCTCGCACCTCAGCATCCACCACCGGACGCACACGGGCGAGAAGCCCTACGGCTGCGGCCAGTGCGGCAAGCGCTTCACGCAGCAGAGCAGCCTGCGCGTGCACCAGCGCACGCACAGCGGCGAGCGGCCCTACAGCTGCCCGCAGTGCGGCAAGACCTTCATCCTCATGCACCACCTCAAGCGCCACCGCATCATCCACACCTACAGCTGAGGGGGGGCGGGGGAAGGCTGAGCGAAGGCCGACAGACGAAACCAAATCCAAAAAAAGCCACCCGCTGGCTTTTTCCTGTGTTTTTTTTAAACCAACTGACTTTGTACATACGTGCATATCTGACTATGCAGAACCCGTTCGGAGAGACTTGTGGAAGAGGATCGGTCCAGATGTGAAGATGTGATACTTTCCAGAGCTAGAAAACCCCCAAAAAACTAGACAGAACAGGGTCTAAAACGTGGGCCTAAAAGCCTTTTTCCCCGTCGCCCGCGTCCCCCCCTGAAGCCGTTTTAGCCCGCCGTGTAGAAACGAGCCCTTTAACCCGGCGTCCCCTAACCGTCACCAGTGGGTTGTGTCTCCAGATCCAACGAAGCTCCTCTCAGGTCCACCTTTAGGTGACAACGGCCCGCCCCGCTTTTTCTCTCTGTGTTACCATTTTTATGAGGATTCTCCTAGAAAAAAAAAAAAAAGAACGCTTTATGTTTTGCATTAAAATTGTTGTCGGAGTTTTGGAGTTATTTGTCGATCATGATGCGCCTATAAATGGTTTTACAGCACGGCTGGTCAGAGAAGAGCTAAAAACGCACGAGCCCTCACTTTGTTTCACATGCTGCAAAAAACAGGTAAATGAAAAAAATCTTGCCGTCAAGATCTAATCAATACTCAAATGGCTTGGAAAATGCTAAATAAGCCACAATAGAGTGGAAAAACACATTACAGAGGATATTTAACACAAACTAACAGCTGGATGTGTAGTCTGTGTAATATAAATGTCGTTTAGATGATTTTGTAATTACAAAAAATGCTTTGTGATATTTTCATTTATTTCCCCAATAACTGCAGTCAATGAAGAAATTAACAAATATTGATTTACACCTTTTAGGTTCCATCTTACCAAAATCTAGATTTCACAGCCTTTTAACCTTGTTTAGATTCTCCAGATCCCTTTCCATGTGTTTCCTATTCAAACAGACACTAATTTAGCAATTAGAAATTAATATGCCTCTCAAAATGTGTATTAACGTTATAACGTGCACTTCATACACGGTAAGCAGCAGTTTTTCATCGACAGTCAGACACAGCTGAACGTTTTGAAGGTAGCAGGAGGTTTCTGTCTCTTTAGGGACACTGAAACATGTGGAGGGCGGAAACTCCCAACCATAAAATTTACAACACCCACTCAGCCTCCAGGAAATAAGTCACATTTGAACAAAAAAAGCACATTAGCACCTCACGTGACGCAAAAAGCAAAGCCATAAAAAACGACTGTAACGAACTGTCGGAAACAAGTGTCCCTCTTTTAAATTAGTTTAAATATTTAGATTGAACCAGGGAAAATGGTCTAGAGATGATTCAGATGAGCCTATTTAAATTGCTTTTACCTCCATTTCAGCACAAATTATAGCGTGAAAAGGGGAGAAAATATTGGAAGGGGAGAAAAGTTGGACAATAGTTGGAAAGTGGGAACATTTAGCTCCCCGGCAGACAACGTCCAGCTCAATGAGCAAATAGCATCATCATTATCCACTGTGACGTAAATGTCGGAAGATTATTCATGGCCCCATAAAAACGTCTTTCCTAGAACTGAAAATCAAAAAACAGAAGTGAGTCGGTACCTTGACATTAGGGATGAATTTCACCTGATGAACCGCTGGAGCTTCAGAGCAATGGTGGAGCTGAGGGGTCACCAGAGGGCGGTGTGACTCTTCTTACACACCGTAGAAGTTGTGGAAAGGGGCCCTGAACTACACTTCTCCTGGCTGGAACCACAAAGTAGTTCACACACGTGTGAGGTTCGTGTTTGTGACGTGAAATCAGAGTCAGGGCCTGACCGTCTGCAGTCTGGCCGCTTCTCTCTTCCCAGCACGCTAAGTCAAAAGCTTTTACAAGCAACAGAAACCCTCTGAAATCTCTAAAAAAAAACCCTTTCCCCTTGTGGTTATTTTAAATATAAAGTGGCTCATTTACTCAACTGCTGATGTCCACGTGAGAGACTTTTGTGAAATCATCTGATTTTGTTCACCGCGCCATAAAAACTCGACCTTCCCGAATCCCTAAGTGAAACATCTAAACACCTGCCGACAAATTGATTTCCTCGCAGACAAATAACTCCTTTGTAGTTTTCTATCATCAAGACATCCACTTTTTTTTTTTTTAACTTGAAAATATTTCCAAAAATCAGCCATTAGTGACTCTACTGTTAATCCCGGATGGGCTTTGTTTTCTGCTAGCATGCTAATATTAGCATGCTAATATGCTAGGCTTATTATCTAAAGGGTGAGGCTGTAAAAATGTATAAAGTTATCTCTCCTGCCCATAAACTGATAAATATTTGTTTTATTACTTTGCCTTTAGCATACATACTTGGTGGTGGAACAGGGTTGTATTTTTGTTGTTTTTTACTTCATTATATTGGTATTTTAATGAAGGGGTTTCAGTTTATGAGCTCTAGTAAACGAGCTTTGCTCTTCATGCTTTTCCCACATTTTTAAATATCAGGACCTGATTTTAATTTTCATTCCATTTTGTTTGTAGTTAACATCATTGATAACAACAAAAACAACAAAAGCAGAAGTTAAACTATGACATGGAGACAGAATAAGTACACAACCCTCAGGATTGATGTTTTTGTGTTGGGTTAGTCCACCACGCAGAAGCAGTGGACAGCAGTGGCCCTGAGGCAAAGTCAAAGCCTGTGTTTTGGTCAGATACCTGCACCTTTCCTGGGAAACTGTCATGACCTCGTACGGGGAATGGGAGGGAAAGCGTTTTCCATGACGCGCTCATGGAAAATGTCTAGCACGGAATAGAAAGAGAACAAGTGGCAGACTATATATTTTGGAGTAAGAAAGTGTAGGACTGAACCACCCTTTGGAGCCTGGAGGACTGCTCTTATGACATAAAGTGAAAGACAAAACAGCTTAATTATCCTCTTTTTTTGTCAGAGAAACATCCGAGGGCACCTTTCTATCTATGTTGCGTAGATTAGAGACATTTCGTCTTTGGGAAGTTCACACACACTCAGCAGGTTTTGCTTTAAAACCCTTTTTTTTTTTCTCTGGTTCTGCTTAAAGGGAGAAATATTTAATATATGCAAGTCAAAAGCCCAGATTAGTCCAAATGTTGAATGGATTCCAATCTGTTAGATATTTATTCAAAATAACAAGCATTTCTCGGAAATGTGGTGACTTGGAGCAACAGAGGAAGTTTTTAACAAGAGAAGAAGTAAAAAATTCTCTTTTAAGTTTAGAGCATCTGATTTGGAGTTGGGCAAGAAAATGTATTCATTGAAAATTTAGAAAAACTTTGACCATCCCAAACAAGCTCATTTTGGTCCTGTTATTTTATAACTAACTGTACAGTGAGGGAATTAACTTGGGTGGTCTGGTGTGGCATAAAGTGGCTCCATAGAGATGTTTCAGACTAAAAACACAGGATATGTTCAGTGTGAAAACAAAGAAAATTCTCCCGTGGTTTTTAGTATTTCCATTACTTCCACAAAAATAAAATAAAAAAATGGTTTGAATCGGTTCATTAAGACGACATCTGGGCAGCTTTGATTTAATTCTATAATTCATTAAACCAAATGGAAAGTAAGACATCACCTCAGTAGTTTTTAGAATAAACTTCTTACTTCTTTATACATGTAAAATAGGATAAATGGACTTGAACTTTGAGGTCATAGCTTGATGTATAGCAGTAAATGACCCAAAGGTGGACAAAAAACTGTCGACAAAAAATGCTAAATATGGAAAATAGAAGACATAAAAACACTCTGTTCCGGGTTTGTCATTTATTGCAAAATTCGATCCACAATTTGTATCAAAGCCAGTCTGTTACAGCGGAGATGAAAGGGTTCCAACAGTCTGGCGACTATCCACCCCAGGATATCTTCCCTTTTTAAAAAAAGTTAAACTCTCACAACAAAGACAAAAAAACCAAACTTAAATACATTTCTTATAAATATTTTTTCAATATTTTACACCCAATTTCTACATTGGTCACCATTTCATGAAGACGTGCACGGAGTTTGTCCATTTCATTCAAAATGAGCACATACCAACTTGGGCTTTTTAAGGGAATGTGACAGAACTGAGAAAATAAATAATCAGACTGTTGGATTAAGACGTCCAATATGATGCTGCACTCACACCGCTGGTCAGATTCAGACAGATCAGAGGGCACGTTATAAATATTACAGTAAAATACCTTCACATGTAATAAAAAAATAAGCAAACATGGTAAGAAGAGGAGTGTTAAAGAGTCGGTAGGGTTCACAGGAGGGGAAACGGAGTAACAGTCGGTTTGTCAGAGGCTCCTCCGGCCGGCGGTCAGAAGGAGTTGTTGTTGTCGTTGTCCAGCCGGGCCACCATGGTGGACACCAGCCTCTCCAGCTGCTTGGCCCTCAGCCGGCCCGTCTCCAGCACCTCTTCGTGGTTGGCGCGCTCCTCGCTGTCGTAGTCCATCACCGAGCGGTTGCTGATCAGGGACAGGGCGAAGCAGCGCACGCCCGCGTGGCGAGCCACGATCACCTCGTGCACCGTGCTCATCCCTGAATCCCAGACAGAGACGGTTCACAGGGTTTAACCACGGAGTTTAGTGGATTTTTAACCACTCTGTGCAGCGTGTTTGTGATTTTTTCCTCCTTCCTTTCAATCCCAAAAAAGGGGGTAAGTGGATGTTTTTGTTCTGGAAAGTTCCTGAGTGAAACACTCAGAAATGTTTGTGAATTAGTGGTTAAACACTGTTTCCATTTCTGAATAAAACACAGTGGATTGTTTACGGTCACTATGAACGGTGAGGAGACAGTGGGTCTCACAGCAGCCACGTTCAAAGTCATTTATGGCAACATTTGCCCAAAATAAACCGCACAGGAATCCCGTTTCTTATCTTCTATCTTGTATTTGTACAGCTCTGTTTCTCATTCTGATGCTTTTGCGAGGTCATGTGACCCTGACTGACTTTTTCCCAGACATAATCCAGCTTTATCCTTTATAAAAGATTCCTTACTGACTCAGTTGCTCAAAGCCTAAAACCCTTTTGGTGGAATAAGTGAGGGTTTATTTTCACGAGGTACTTTCTTTAAAAGGCAGGCTGTATTCTTAGAGTCTGACATCACGTCTGTGCGTGTGTTTTGAAAGCAGACTCTTGCGCAGCAGGAATGTCCGTTCTTATGACGCTGTGAGTCACTTCACAGCGTGACAGCTCATGAGCGGACGTGTTTATGTGCTCACGCTCTGTAATTCTGCCTGTGGTGCAACCTGCCGAGGGCGTCGGGAGCATTTTTTCTCTACACTCGGCGTAGGGGCGATGGAAATCATTAAGACGAGGGTGTGTTCAGGGTCAGGTTTGGGATGTGGGATTAGAGTTTCCGGAGGTTAAGGGCCTTACCGACGGCGTCGGCTCCTAAGCTGTGCAGCATGCGGCACTCGGCGATGGTCTCGAAGGACGGCCCCCCGAGGACGCAGTACACGCCCTCCTTCAGGAAGTCGCTGTAGCCCAGCTCGGCGCCCACGTCGGCCGCCAGCTGCCGCAGCTCGCGGTCGTAGGCGTCGGACATGCAGGGGAAGCGGACGCCGAACCTGAGAGCAGACAGAGGTGAGAGTCTGTGTGGCTCAAAGGCAGAGTTTCCCCCGAACGACTCAGGAAAAACCTTTAATACTGCAAGTTTCTGAGATGGGTTAACGTCATAAAAACAGTGTGGACACATTAAGGGCAAAGGGAAGGTTTAATGAGCCCCGGGTCAGTGAGTTGTGCTCTGAGGCCGGCACTCAGGAAGCCATTTGGAACAACAAAAGGCTTTGTTGCACATGAAATCAGACCCTTATTGTTGCTCCAGAGCTGCGCCTGCATGGTTTGGAGTGGGTGGGGCTGAAAAATGTGCATAAGTTACAGGGTGAAATGTGGGGGAGGGCGGGGGTTAAAACAGCTGACTCAGTGAAGCCTGAAACACTGCTGTTTCAATGACCTCCTTTGGGGGTCCTGTTTTCTTTCTTTTTTTTTTACGTGGAGTGCATCACAGAGGGCTTTGCTAGGGGAGCAGCACAGTGAGGCATTTACAGGGGACGTGTGAATGGTTTTAGTAGGGGGGTGGGGGGTTGCCTGAGTCAGATTAAAAAGAATACATCGTTATGATGGACGTTGGCCAGGCTGCACCGTGGTGTGAGAATGACCCCCCACCACCACCCTCTCTGTCACCTCCACCTACCGCTCTTCGTTGGGTCCAGCCAGCGGGTTGATTCCACCAAACCCGGGCATGTTGATGTGGTCCTTGATGATCATCACGTCGCCCACCTTGTAGTCCTGGTTCAGCCCCCCCGCTGCATTGGTCAGGATCATGGTCTTGACGCCCATCAGCTTGAAGACGCGCATGGGGAGCGTGATCTGGAAAGCGCAGCAGGACATTTAGCAGCCTGCTATCAGTTTGTTACCGATCCATTCCCGGAAACACGGCGCAGCTGTGCGTGCCCACAGAGTTCTCAGCCTAAGCTCCGATGGGAACCACGCTCTGTTTTTATTACGAGGGAGATCTTTGGCGATATGTCCTCAGAGAGCAGGGAAACAGGCACAGGGATCATCAGCAAACAAAGAAAGAGTCCAGAAAAACTTGGCTGTGAAGTCTGTCAAATGCCATTTTTCCCACTCTTTTAGTTACACAAACAAAATGCCAACCATCCCCAACCCCCCCCACCGCTTTGTGATGTGAAACTGTAGCCTGCTCAGAAATAATCCCTGTTTTCACACCTGTGTCTTCTAGGTGTGTCTGTTTCATCAAACCTAAATACGATCCAGTACGCATGTATCGCAACAGGTATTATAAATGATGAATCAACAATTGAGTGTCCTCATCCTGTGCTTTTTGGAGGTGTGAGCATTTGAATCAGAGGAAAGAAGAAGCTTGTTTGGCCTGTCTTGCTGTGTTTCTTAACTTTTCCTCTTAGGCCACGCCGCCTCATGGTTTTCCTGCACGCACAGGACAAACAAAACTCGAGTTTGGGAGTTGTGTATTTGTGTTTTCAAAGATTCAGTTTGATTCGAGCCAATTAGAATCCAGTCAGGATGAAAATCTCCATTTTAAAAGAAAGAGCAAGAGCAACCTGCTTTTTCAACACAATGCCATCAAACCTGTTAAGGGTGCAGCTTTACACACATGTGATGTTTAAAATGCTGTAAATACACAGGCTAAAGGCTGCCATGCACCCACCGCCTCCCATTCTTTATCACTAGGCTGTGATGTATTGGGCTGCATCTCGTTCTATAAACTCCTCTTTTTTAGCATAAAAAAAAAAAAAAGGATGAAGCAAAAACAAAAGAACTTTTAAGAAGTTCTGCTGTTTAGGAGAGCATGAATCCACTTAGTTTTTTCTCATTGATTGAACACTTTACCAATGGGTTCATGGGCTGAAAATCTTTTTCAAAATCTGCTTTAATGCAGCATGTTGTTCATTGTGTGAAATAATAGTCCCTATTAGAGTCAAAGAGAGAAGACAGCAGGGTCTGCTTTAGGACAAGGAGCTGTTGATCTGTTTCCGAATGCATCTTTATGATGTTGTAGTTTAGTGGGGTCCCATTACACGTTTTTTCACAGTTTTTCTAAGAATTTACGCTTAACCGGAGGAGCCTTCATGAGATGGACCAAAAAGACCAAGTTATTTTTGGTTTTTAAGTATGTAACATAGTTGAAAACTCACCTTTTGGATTGGGTAGCCCTCATAAAGGTGGAACCTGCCCTGCATGCAAACACACGGCTTCCCTTTTAGTGTCCCAAACACCAGCTGACCAGCGTGACCATGCACTGCAACACACACACAAACACACACGTACACACACAGTTTGTTAGACAGCCCGTGTGGCTCATCGTGCACGTCAGCAGCTGATCTTTCTTCTCACTCTCTGCATACCTGTGCTCCGGGGGAAGTTGGGAATGTCGGCGTACTTGAAGAACTGCGGGTCCTTCAGCATGTCAGCCAGCCCCCCGAGGCCCGACCCGCACACGATTCCCACAGTCGGCTGCACATGCGTCTTGGACAGGAGCCAATCCGCTGTGGCCTTGCACTCGTCATAGCTGACACTAAACGAGAACAACTTAGATTAATAACATGTACTCTCTCAATAAATCTAAAAGTGTGCGAAACAGTTTGTTCTCTTGGCAGTGGTTGTGCTCCATTCACTTAACAGGAAGTAACTGGAGGACGTGACATTCGGAGAAGACAATGTGCAGAGATGAATGTCGGTCCTGCCCTCTGCTAATATTTACACACATAAACACAGACACGCACTGTAGCCTGTTGTGTGTTTGTGAACAGAAATTAGCTTTAAACCAACCACAAAGATGCTTCCATGCTCTTTATTTCATGTCAGGACTTCAGAAAACGACTGTCCCTTTACTTTTAGCAGTAATCTATCCCACCTGTGCACTTTATGCTCATTTTAATCAAACCGGTACATGTTTATTCAAACAGGCATCATCAGACCAGGTTCAATATCTTAATATCTTCAACAAATGCATGTACGGTCTGTATTACGTTAACAAAAACACTGATATAGTTTCTCAAACTCGAACCAAAACAGCGGTCACACCTGTTCACTTTTTAGCCAACAGGTTCCTCTAAATTTCAGCTCATGTCAAATAAGCCAGTAAATATCTGAGACATTTTTTATTTCAGCATAGCTGAATGTGCTTCTGGTCAGCCTAATCCTCGATATGCTTTAAGTCTGGTCATTTTTAGTCCAGTAGAAGTTAACTGTTTTGCAGCAACTAGTATTCTGCTACTCAAAGTTTAGCTGACATTTAATAGTCGAAAAGGGGGATTTGAACAGTTAAGTGGGACCATTTTAAGCAAAAGCTATTTACATTTCCGTTTAAAAAGAAAACAAAAAATAGAATATTTCCTCCTCTCTTAGTTGTTTCTAAGGTGTTGCTGCTTCTTTGTGGTTCCTCTGTTCTCCCACTTCTACGTGCACGCAGTAAGCAGTTAGCGTGGAAATCATAGACATATTTAGATGTGTGTCTATGGTGGCATGGGAAACTCTATACCCGGAGCCCACACGCGGGGAAATAACCCGCACCGGCTTCCTGTGCCCGTAATGACTCAGGCAGGAAGGCCGTGACGTAACCACGCGCGTGCCGACCGGAGCTCCACCGGCACTCCGTCTCGCGCCTTAAAGCGTCTTTAACCGTTAGGAGGGAAATGGGAGGCTGTTCACGTGATTAAAGTCTGTGTCTTTATCCTCAGTGTGGGGGCTGCACGTGAAATTAAAGCGGTCTTACCGCATTATTTATTTTTTAGAGAAGTGACATCCCGAGGAAGCAACCGCGCTCTTGTCTGGTCACGTTTTGAAAAAGTAAACTAAATAAAACAGTTTAACCAACTGCGTTGTTGTATTTTTTTTTAAACTCTATAGGTTTTTAAACAGCGTTATACATAATAAAATAAGGAAAGCAGCTGATTATCGTAACCCTGGGTGTGAACGAAGGATGTTAGCTAAAGATGATAATATCTTAAGAGGAAAACGGCGTTTCGGTTAGTTACCGGAGCTCTAATCACAGCAGTGGTCCGGAGTCAGGTTACTCACCCGGCGACGAAGTCAGTCATAGACAGCATTGTGAATTTGGATGGAGTCGGCAGGTTTTTCCGCGTTTTATTGTTTCTACCAGCGTTGCCCGGCTATTGTGATGGAGGGACCGGTTTTCGGGTTTACATTATGCAGTTTCCCCTACGTCACAACCAACAAAAAACTCCGATTGGTCGGAAAGCTGGCGGGGCGCGGGTGTGCTGCCGTGTGATGCCGTGGTAGTCCCCAGCAACGATTGTTGCGTTCATAAACATCTGCCAGTGTGGGAAATCAGCTTATCCTTCATTAGGAAGCAATTATGACAAAATAAAGAAACACGTGGCAGCTTTTGAAAGTGTATTACTCGACAATTAAGTCAAACCAACGGGTCAACTCCTATCATGTACAAACTTGGTCAGATTTTGAAAGACCACAAAACAATGAATAAAAATAAACAAACAAATAGGATAAGTTTATGTTGATGTTTAAGATAAAATAAAAAAGCAAATTATTTTTCAAACGAAACTAAAGTTATTCTGTAAAGAAAATAAGTTAATCTAAGCTATTCCTTGGCTTTGGCAACACATTATTAAACGTTTTGTACAACTAGTTTCCATAGGTTGAATTTTGCATGCCTACAGTGGCCCAACTGTTCCCTCCAGATAAAGACAGACGAGATTAAACATGCTGCATCTGAAATGTATAGATAATGCTATTCTATATTACAATAAACATAAGATAGTCAATAGTCAAATTGTGTAGCCGGTTAAAGCTTGCAACCTCTTTGAACAAGCATTTCCGACTTACCCTGAAGGTGCACAGACCACACACAGTCTCACATGGAGTTGTTGCTTCTGGTGATGATGCAATGGCACTCTAGCATTTCATTAAATATATGTCTTCTCTGCTAGTAAATAATAAGGTTTGACTCACCATGACTAAAATCAAATTTACCTAAATGGATGAGCTGTTTTTTTGTGTTGACTTTGGGTCACTGGTGTGCATGCTTAGGATGTGTCATTTGCTTATACATTTTATCTCTCTACTCAAATACATTTGTGAGTTCTACTTTAATTTGCCTGTTGTGGGCAGCACAGAGCAGCCATTGTTTTGGGCTGTAAAGTATAAACTAATTTGTATTCATACAGTTGTTCGCTGCTCATCCCAACAAGGTAGAAAAGTCTCCAAAGAGGGGACTGAGCTTGCCTGACATAAGTTAACTCAGAAATTATATAAGGTATTATAACATATAAGTGACAACCCACAGCAGTTTCTCATCAGGTTGATTTTTTTAACATGATGTTGTTTATTATTACTGTTTAGATTAAAACAATGGTCGGTGCCCCAAAGACATGTCGTAAAGATATGTCTTTGTTTGACTGTGCAACATTGACTTTTTTCTGTATATTTGCTTTTGATATGTACACATTATAACATACTAAACAGCAGCCTGAGTATCAATAAATTAGTTAGTTAAATCACCTTGAAAGTTACTTGAACTTAACCTGTTTACAGTCTATTATTGCTTCCTTGGTTGGCACTGAATTTTGATAAATGGGATTATTTAAAGATTATCAATGAGCACTGACACCAGCCTGTCAAAATTTCCACTTCCTTCTCAGCTCTGTCCAGCTGAATGTTAGCGTGCTCCAGTGTTAGATTTACGCAGCCAGCTGTAAGTTTATGCATGCTCATTTACAAACTGTTTATTTGATAATCATATAAGATACATTTTAATTTAATTGAATGAGCTATATAGTCATACTGTCTGCAGCAAAACTTTAGAGAGCTGAAAGGGTATCTCCATTTTGGTTTTATGAAATAAACAAAAAAACTTTACACTTAGTCTCAAATTCACGGCTGAAAACTGACTGCAGATTCTAAGATCATCACAAAACTGCCATTTACGGCCAGAAAAGCACCAGTACACATATAAGTCCTAGAAAGCTGTTGGAATTAAACTCTCATTTTCTATGGTCAAATAGACCATCCAGTACATGATATTCATTCTTTAAGATCAGGAGGAAAAGTCTCTGTCCTGTTTGTGTTTTTGTTGTATGTGCTTGGGACTGTTCATGACATTTCTTTTAATGTTAGAAAACCCTTCCAAAGGTTGTTTCAGTCTTCCTGGAGTTAACCAGAAGATTTGGGGGAGTAAATTGCAGTTCCTGTTCTGTGGCTCTGCTGTGCTATTTTAGAAACATTTCACGTGCCACACGCACACACAAACACACACACATATTTTCTCCACCACCAAACTGTCACTGGAATCTGGCTTCTAATAGTAACTGTTCTTCATGAAATCCATATCACAAGATTAGCTTTAGGGTTTCGACATTTTTCTGTATTCCATTGACCGTCTTCCTTTTCCCAAATGACAAAGGTAAAGTTTGAGTTTTATGTGCAGCAGCTACATTTAGAAGACGCTCCACCTTCAGTCAAAGATTATGCAACAAGTTTCCTTCATTCCAGCCTGAGACCTTTTAAGGAATGAAAAGAGGGGCCTGTTTCCGAGGCACTGGGTGCTTTTCAAAGCTCATTCCATGCACTGCACAGATGAAAAGAAATGACTGTTTAGAAGCTTTTAATGTAATCGGGTATCCTGCTGGATGTCCTGCTGAGATATTATGTAAGAAGTGGAGATGGTGAGGCTTTGTTCTGAGTTTTATGCATTCAGGTTGGGTGTTTTTTTATTTATTTTCGGTTGTGTTTCTTTATGTTCGGGCACTGTGCAGAGGAGTCTATAACAGCATGGCTTCTCTGCTGTGTTGGTTTGAATGGATCTCAGAAATATTTACTATCACTACTCAAAAAAGTGCTGTCACTTCTCTCATGGTATTATGTTCTTATTTTAGCATCTCTAACCCATCCCAAGAGTCAGACTAAAGGCCACTGGATATAAATGTATATATTTTAATTTTTTTCCTCCCAGATCTGCACATGGACCTGATGACTAGGCTTCAAACCTCCCCCTCCTCAACCATGACACTTGAGCCGTATTGAACCATTATAGTGCTGCAGGTTAACCTGTTGAGGTCAGGTCGTTTAATGGTTAATGCTTTCGGCCTTGCTAAGTAGGCCTTGAATGTCTTCTTTATCTAAAACACATGCCTTCTTTTCCTTGAAGAAAGCTTGACTTTTCAGTAGAATGGCCAGAGAATGGCATTGTATTTTTCAACATCTTTACAAAAACACAGAATGGGTAAGACATAAAGTTTAGTATGCTTAAAGGGTGTGAATTTTCAGACATTAAAATTTTTTTTTTTATCATAAGACAGATTATTGTAAAAAGAGGTTATCGTAACATTGTTCTGCCTCCCATGAATGATTGCATTTGCTTGTCTGTTTGTAAATTGTTCCCAAAATGAGAGATAACAGCTTCAAAGATCAGCTTTGTTTTGCTTCATTTATTATCTCTTTTTAAAAGAAAAAGCTGTCATACATGATGATAAAGTATTTTAAGCTATGATGTTTGAATTAATCTTTTTTTATTCAATATAATTGCATGAAGCTGATCATAAGTGTCTGCTCATTAGTGTCTGCTGACAGAAAATTGGAACAAATAACGACACCCTCACTGAAAATGTTTACAATTTTCTTTCTTTTTAGTCTAATTGGAAAATATTTTAGGCTTTTTTGACAGGATTCAGCCTCTAAGTAGCATTGCTTTCACACAACACATCGTCGACTGCAAGCAGGTTGAAACATCTATTGGATTTTCATGTTTTAGCCCATAATATTAAAACATGGTGGGTCGGGGTGGTTGCTATCAGGGCAGATCAGCCACTGTAATTTCTCCCCTCCAGCAGAACCAGCCAGGAGGTTATTTGTGTGACGACGCAGCTTGGGTAGGATGCTTTCAGGCTGTTGTTTCCCTCGCCTGACTCTGCCGATGCAGATGAAACAAGTGTAATTGTCTCGTACTGGTTTATCTAGTGTCTATGTTCAGGAATGCATAGAAACGTTGGCTTTTTCCTCATTCTGTGAAGCCACCACTTTGTCTCCCAGGGCAACTGTCTTGGCTTGTTCTCACTCCAGTTAACCTTTTTTTCATCAGACGTCAATTTTTAACTAACTACCAAATTTGTAACAGTAATTTGTCTGCAGTAATTTGATTAAAATCAGGCCCAATATCTATTTTCTGTCCTTTAGTGTAAGACCACTGCCACTTCTCTGCAATGACAAGTCATCACATTCATCTCGAGATTGAATAAAGGTAATAAGATGTACTTTTTTGTACCAGAGGGCCTCACTCCACATATTGACTGTTAAGGCTGGCTTGTGTGAGAATTGAAGCTTTGGTATCTGCTTCCATCTGCTGGCTGATCCTGAACATGCATAAGAGGACCCAGAGTGGCTGGTGAGATGCGTCAGAGAGATGCTCACATTTCAAATGTGAGCATTTGCACTTGCTATCCTGTGCGCATAAACCTTTTTTTTAACAGGTAAAATATACCATGATCCCCAAGATCTTTAGGGCCAACTAACCACCCAAGGCAGAAAGTCAAACAAAAAGTTCTTACATTCAGTGTTACCCACAGAGATGACATGAAATGAGTTCATGGATGGTGTGTAAATGGTCAATAATCACTATTATTGGCAAAAATAGGGGCCCCTCAATCACACTTTGCTCAGGACCCCATGGAGGCTTGGTTCAGCTCTGGGACACACATGAATGCTGATTTTCTTTATCTCAAAGATAACTTTTTACCGCTTTTCTTATTCTCATGCAAAACCAACATTTTCTATTCTATTACAAACAGAGTTTAGTTGCTGATGAACAGCTGAGTTCTCCACAAACTGACTAATGATTAACAGAAAGAATGGCTAAGAACTAAACAAAGCTAGAATCTTGAGCAAACCCAGAGGTAAAAAGCCTGTGATTGATGAAGAGTCACAGTAGGTCTCTGCACTCCGCGTGACCTGGTGTCGGTGCCGTCAACTCCACTGGCAAATCGAGAGCAGCGCAGGAAGGAAGTAAAACACAGCAAAACAGAAAATAAATATGCAGGAGCGGCAACAGAAAGGGCCTCACGGAAGGCGGCAGGGAGGGAGGGAGAAGAGTTTCTAAGGATGAATAAAAGCGAGGTGAGTCCGGCAGCGGCCCTCACACAGAGCCAAGAGTGCTGAGTGACACAGTCTCACACATAGAGGGCCCTTTTTTTCCGTCTCATTTCTACAGAGGATGTGGTAAACAGCTGATTCCTTTCCAGGCTTCAGGTTACCCACTTCTGCTACAACTGAAATATGTCAGGCTGTTTTCAGATCATCTTTGAGGTTTTTTTTAACCCATTCTCACAGCACGTCGGGGGTTATCTTCAAACAAAACCCAAGACGACCCCACTAGATATGCAGTCGAATCAGGAAGAAAACGAGGAGACTTGAGGGGGCCGAAATGATCTTTTTCACAACTCTCCTACCTGCTTGTTGGAAGATTAAAAAAAAGAAAAAATGAATTTAGCAGCCATGTTTGAGAAAAAGTGACCTAGGTGAAGATTTAGTTTGGTTAAAAGCTGACGTGCTGCTGTGGTGTCTCACATTGTGACACAGTTTGGAGCGTTGCGGAACAGATTTGACCACACACAGTATCTCACCGTTAGCTGCGTGCATCACTCTAACATGCCGGTTTGCAGGTGCTCCTGAGAAGGCTCTGCTTGGTGAAAACGACTCATCTGGGCGTTGTCATTGTGGAATCTGGTCAATAGAGCAACTGGAGTTCATGTTTGTTATCGCCTGATACTGTTACAGCGCTGAAATCCACAAACATTAAACCTGCATGAAGATCTGCTGGTGGACGATGGGAAAGCAGGCCGGCTGCCCGCAGCGTCACCTGATGCCGGGGAGCTGTTAGCAGGGGGCGTTACACTGTATGTGAGAAGGCCAGAATGTGGCAAAAGGTGCCCGGGCAAGAGGCTCACCACAGATTATAGAACGGGGCACGGAAGGGAAATTCCAGTATTTTTCAATTGGACCTCAATCGCCTCCTTTTTAGGTGAAAAAAATCCATGCTACAATGAAACGTCAATGAAAAATGCAGACAACAGAATCTCATATCAGTAAATCTGTTCTTGTTAGGTGGATTGAGAAAAACATTTATGATACAGAAACAACGGAAGTAAGACGTGTGGTGAGCAGCCTGTTTTTCTCACTAAAGTGACTATTGAAAGCCTCGCCTGCGGGTCCCCAAGATGACATGCGGCTACTCATCTAAGGTACTTTTGAATAGAAGGAATGCATTTCAAATTCTCAGAGGCAAATGGTTGAAAAAATATTCAAATATGAAATACCCTGACATTTCCTATTTTGATGTCATGGTGGTCTGAGGTCATGAGATGATTTTAGAGGAAAAAGAAAAGAAGGCCTCTCCTGTGTCCAGTGGACTCTTCACCACATTGAACCAGTGGTCCTTATCAGCTCTCAAGCTCTCAGTTAAATAATGCTTCGTCACCCTCTCCTGAGGCAGAATAAGGGGCTGTATTCACCTCACGCACGTTCCTCTTTGTGTTTGAGCTTAACTGGACGCTCCGTGCAGATGCTCTTGGACACAGCAAACGCCGGCCTCAGCGACTGTGAATAGGGGGCTCTGTGGTTTCCCCCAAAAGAGGTTTTGTGTGTTCCTCTGTGTGCATGCGTGCATGTGTGCACACCTTCTGCAGGGGGTGGTTTATTGGGGCCCTCTGCTGGCATCTGCGCATGTGTCTGTGCATTTGTCGAGAACGTGCATGTGAGTCCAAAACACGTGCGTCCGCACGTGTGTAAATATATGCACAAACATGATTTAAATAAATTAAACGCATTGAAACACATTTTCTTTGGAGTGTTGAATAAGGACGAATTCATGAAGTACAGAAATAATCAAAAGTTTGGACACTTCTACTCACCGTAAGCATTCAGTGCCCAGAATCTTTTACGGATTGGTACGGCAAAAATGCACCATTTCAAACTTAATTAAGCATGTATGGGTGATCAATTAATCCAGCAATCTCATAGATTTGAGCAGGACACGGCAGGGATTCAGGAACAAGGGGAGAGAGGGACACAGAGGGAAAACTGAGGGAGAGGGAGACCTTTATAAAGCCAAGTCATGCCAGTTTGGGAAGAATTTGCATTCAGAGAGAACAGGTTCTGGGTCCGAAACGGGAGCCCGAAGAGCCAATGACTGTCCCCATAATTCTCCTCAGCGGTGTTCTGTGTCAGAGGACACAGGCTGCTGAAATAACTCTTGCAGAATTACCGTCCAGCTTGTGTCCTGTGAGCATGCGTATAACAACAAAGAAGACATGTGGACCAAAAGCTGAGGCTCCAGGCTCCTAAATCTTCTCTGCACAGCTCAATTAGATTGCAGTCGTCTCTTAAAAAGGTAAGCAAACAAATTTAAACACAGTGAAATGCAAATAATAAATCAATTGAGAGTGAAAGTGATATTAATTTGAATAAAATCTGGTTTTGTTATGCAGCTAGTAACACACATTCATGAGAGTATTATAAGAATTTAGCATAGATTTTTAAATGGATTTTTACTGTTTATTTCTTTTTACGTCAACCACATGTTGAGTTTTTTTTAAGGTTAACCTAAAATCACGAGTTTTAAATTGCTTTAACACATTTAAATGATGGAAGTTAGTTACCCGGTGTATAGTCATGTGGAAAGCTTGTGCTGCTCACCTGCGGTGCTCCAGATTTGTTGACACCTATAGAGCACGCAAGTGAGATTCAGATCATGCAGCTCCATAGATAACAGCACGAGGCCATCAGACATCAAATGCAAATCATGGATTTAGAAAAAAAAGACAAAAAACTTCTTGACAGAATAGCTTTTAAAGCAACTAAACATGTATGTTTTTACCTCGACTCTGACATACAGAAATTTGGACTGTTATGTGTCACTTAGCAATCATTAATTGGGAAAACCTAGGCTACATGTGGGTTTTTATTTAGCAGTGTTGGAAGAGTGCAAACGGTAATTTGTTTGGTAAAGACCAAGTCCAACTGTTGTATGCAGATTGGATGCTGTTTAAATTAGAATCGGTGCATCAAAAACAGGTTAATGATGCCCATAACTGTGAATTTATCATATAATCATGCCGCTTTCTTCTTCATGATATCCAAATCCTCACTACAGTAGTGCAGTGTAATACTAAATTTAAAAAAGCCATCTGATTCGCAGCAGTTTTAGACCAGAAACATCGAGGAAAAGCTGTTAACTATCTGAAAAAGTTTGAAAGTTGGGCTGCAAACAGAGGGTTTGATTTATGGTCAGTTCCATTGAACCATTTGGGTATCTTCACAGTTTCTTTACTGAATAATCTGTGGTAATGGAAGGACAGAAAAGGGTAGAAAAGATATGGTAGGTGAGAGCAAAACAAACCAAAGAGAGGGAGAAAGAGAAAGTGTGTTTCTCTGCGTGTGTGTGTGCACGAGGAGGGTAGAAAAAGGGGAGATGGAGGAGGATTACTCCTCACTCCAGAATACTAATGAGGCCTTTTGTCAGAGATCTTTCGCTCTTTCATTTCCTCTCTCCCTGCACACAGTCACCAGCGCGCTGTTGTGCGTTCTTCCATCACTTCAGAGGACGTTGAATTATTTTTCCTAACTGTTTTGGACTTGCTTTTTGGCCCCAAGAGGAAGTGAGTTCCCAAGAGTCACCCTTGGGGGATTTATGTCCAATCAACACAGCATAAAACACAGAAATTATGGATGTTTTTCTCAAGAAAAGAAAGTCAAACGTGCACCCCTACAGTAACGCCCCCCAAAAAATAGCATGTAATTACAGTCCCACTCTCACATAATCAAACATGTACACACACACATGGATGGGCACGGAGTGGTTTTTGTCAATGGCGTCTTTTGTTTCTTTTATCTCAGCTCCCAACAAAGCGTTCCTGTGTACAGAGGAGAGAGGGAAAGGAGGAGAGAGAAAGAGGAGAGTAGAAAGGGGGGGGGGGGGAGGAGAGAGAGAGGGAGATGAGGGAAAACATCCAGCGCCTCTTTGTTTGACTAAAGAAAAAGTTTTGATTCTGTTTTTGGACTTGGCTCTCCGAGGCTGCGGGGCAGTACAGTAAAGTTGTGGCGTTGCCATGGAGATGGAATACATCCTATTGGAGAGGTTGGTAAAAAAAAAAAATTACCCCTCATTTCCGTCTCATTTACTCCCGTTTACTCCATTTTGGATCCGGATATCTTTGCTCTGGTTGTTGTGTGAGTGTGACGCAGAGTTGTCAGAGGGAAGTTTTCAATGGCGTCTTTGTAACAATGAAGCTCCCTCTTGCATAATCCCAAAATATGATGTAATAAGTTTTGATTGGTTATATAAACCACGATCAATTTGAAAGGACCTATTTTGATTAAATGGCTAATGGACGCACCTCTAGGTGTAAGTCTTCCTCCAGCAAAGTTCATTTAAAACCTCCATCAAAAAGTCTGTGTAAAAACGGCATCCAATGACCTGCAAAACTCATGAACTAATGTTTTATGTCCAAAGGAATACTTATACAAGGCAGTAATTAGGCATTTTAAGTCCTTAAGAAGAAAAAATATCAGCTCATTTTGAATTTAATGTTGACAATGCGCTCAAAAGTAGCTCAAGTCCATGTTTCTCATTGCTTGGCCCCTCTCTTTTATCAACAGTCAACATCTGGAAACTGAGCTTTTTTCCATCTTTGATATGGGATCAGCTCCTCATCTGTCTGGGGTCTTTTGTTTCGCATACTGTCTGTATCCGAAGGACTTCATTCACTGCAGCAGGACTTATTCCATTCATGCTTTTTGAAAATCTTTCCATTTGGTGATAGCTCTGGACAAATGACAGGTCAGCTCGGAGCCTGGACATTTAAATTACACAGGTTGCCATCTGCATTGGCACTAATGCGCCCTGTTCTTTCTGAAAGGACGCCGTTTATTTTAAAGAGTGTGTTTATGGCTCCATCTCCGCATTATGGAGCCTTAACCTGCCTTTGTGCATGGCACAGGGAGCTGTTTACAGACAATGATTTCCATTCGAGAGCCAATTCAGTGGCTATCAGGACAGAAAGATTTCTGTTTTTCATGCAGAAATGTTTAATTATAATGTTGATGAAATGACGTATACCCAGTTGTATCTATTATCATCTCTACTTAAGAGACTTTGCCTCCTTAGGGTGCTCTTTTTACACCCAGTCATGTTACCAACCTGCTGCCAATTAGCTGAAACACATTCCTCCAGCTATCATTGTTTAGTATCACTTACTTTTCTATCTTTTTGTTGCTCGTGTTGCTCCATGTTCTTAAAAACATTCTTTTGTGGATAAAATGTTGGTTTATGGGATTTCCAAAACATTGAATTCTCTTTCTATTTACATTTTATGCAGCATCCCAAATTGGTGGTAACTGGGAGGAAAATGTGTACAATATTATAAATTGACAGAAGTGAGAGCAGATCTTTGATTTTTTTTTAGTACAGATTTATTTTGTGAACTTACGAAAGTATTTTTACTGTTGCGATAGTCCAGGAGACTCGACTTTGTCTTGAATTTATATAATTTAATGATGATTTTCCTTTCAGTGAAGCCTTACAGTGAGACCTGTGAGGATCCAGAGCATAAAGCTGTAACACTGAGAAAAACACCTGAGAGTGCACAGAGAGTAAAACTGGCTCCTCACCAGCCAAACTCTCAGAGCCAGCTCCAGTTTCCACTAAGAAGTCCACTCTTTATCCACTAAAGGTCTCACTGCTAAGAACCAACAGTAACCTTCTTTAAAACAAACCTTATCTAGATAAACCTCTTAGTTTTTAACAAAGATTGGCTCCTTAATTGACACGTTCACGTGACTCTCTCTTTTCCTCTCACAAACGAGTCTCTGTGAGGATGTTTTTTTTTGCGGTAATGCACTGCACGGTCGCCCTAATTCTACTCTTCTTTCTCTTCTCTTCCTTCTTTCTTATCTGCATCCTCTGTGGGTTATCATCCCCTTTGGCCCGGGTGGTTTGTTGAACGTAAGTGATTGTGTCAAATTGTGTGCAAGACGCAGGAACGGCCTCCTTATGTGCAACACTTTTTCGCACTCTTTGCAGCGACAAATACACACAAACCACTGATAACTTAACAGTGGAGCTCGGGGGGCATTCACGTCTCTTTTTCTGTGATTGAAGACATTCTGATTGAATAAATTGTGAGGACAGATGGGTGAAATCTGCTGGGAAACAGACACAACAAATGACATTGATAAAAAAAAAAGATCTATTCTATGAGGGGAAATTGACGCCATGTTTTGTTTCTGTTATTGTTGCTTTTCCTTTTTTAAATTCCTGAGTCAGTGGCAGATAGATTGCGGTTGGCTTGTAATTTTAGTCACTATTCTTTCTCTCTTCTGCAAATCTATGCGCATAAATAAGAATGAAAATAGTCCTTTTCTTGGGGAAAACAAACCCCCCTGCTCTGGAATTAAAATAGAAACTTATAATCTATTCAATCTTCACACGTTTCTGCAATACTATATCATTTGAGTATTTCTTGTTTGTTGTGTGTTTGTTAATGCAGTTTTTCTGTTTTTTCACTACATCAGTGGAACTTCTACCAACAACGACTAAAATAAATAGTCATTCTTCCTTTTGTATTGGATTGCATTAACCAACAGAGAAGTACTTCCCCTATCAGCTGTTAAAAAATGTGACGATCAAAAGAAGAACTTGATTTTTTTTCTGTCCGTAAGACATTGTTTGTCATAAAATGTTGGTTTATTTTACCGTCTTGTTTAGGAGAAGTCAAGACCAGAAACCTTGAACTGCCTGTTTGTTTTCACACATCCTACTGCAGTGTGTGAAATGTATTTCACACAGTGTATTTCATATGATAAAGTCTTCACCCTCAACTAGTGGAAACAAACCTTTCATTCTGCTAAAGCCAGTCTTAGACTGCGTTTTGGCCTCTGGATCTTGTAGGATCAGGTCAGGACTTTTAGACCTAGCCTGGGGAAAACATGTTGAGCTGTATCGAATTCAAGTGCACGTGTTGCTTTCTTGCTCTCTATTCCCTGAACTCCTGCTTGTTTGTACTCATTAGTTATCATCATCGTTTTTATTGTAATTTTAACCCATTTTTTTGCAGAGTCATCCACATAATTTATTTGATTTTCCTCTGTGAGGCCAATTGTTTAAATTTTGCATTATATTACTACACTTTATGTTATTCTTGTCACTCCTGATTAGCAAAAACAAAGGTTGATAAAAAAAAAAAAGAGTGTTGGGGAAAAAAAAGACCAGAAACTTTTAGTTTACATACTTTCTGTTTAATTTACCGCATATTTGTTCAGGATCTCGTCAGTTGTCTCGATCTCTGTGTTGATTTTCTCATGAATTCTCTTGATAGAGAACGTGGTTGAGGGGAAATTACCAAAAACTACAAGTCGTCATGGGAAACGGGTGGTTTTCCCCGAAAATGTAACAGGAAGTCTGCACCCCTAACAACCTGTGTGTGATTTCGGAGACTTGTTTTTACAAAAAGTTCAAACTGAACGACTGTTACGGCTTTTTCTTTTCGTTCTTCTCCAGATGACGTCTGCCACACCTCCCTCCTCCCGTAGCCCTTCTCCTCACAAAGTCTGCCACTCCCAGACTCAGACGGACGTCTTAAAACCTCTGCTGGGTGGCGGCGCGTCGGGCGGGGCGGGGAGGAAAAGGAGGCGCGTCTTGTCCAAAGATGGCCGCAGCAACGTGCGCATCGAGCACGTCAGCGGGAGGAGTGCCCTCTACATGCGCGACCTGTGGACCACCTTCCTGGAGATGCAGTGGCGCTACAAGTTCTTCCTGTTCACCGCCACGTTTGCGGGGACGTGGTTCTTCTTCGGGGTGCTGTGGTACCTGCTGGCTCTGGTGCACGGAGACCTGCTGGGTGAGAGGCCCGCAGACGTTGCAAAAAAGATGAACTGATAAGAGTCCGGTGTACTGCCCCACATAGTCAGGCTCAGGCCAGGAACGTGCACCAGGTTCACTTTTTGCCATGTGTCACTTTTAGACATATTTCAGTTTCAGTTTCGGTGAAAACTAACGTCAGATCATCTCCAGATCATGAGGGGTTGGATTCTGGAAATTCTCATTGGGTTTTTTTGGCACCAAATTCATACCAATCCTTGGTTAAAAGTCCTGGTTCACAGTGCAGAATAACTACACAGAGAACTAAATTGGGGACGAAAACAGCTCACTCGAAATTAGCCTTCTGCCCGTTTTAGTTTAAAACCTCTGTCATGAGCCGTCTCTGGGCTGGCACCTCACCTGGATGTGGAAAATATGACTCATTTCAGTGCTTTCACATCACATCATTTTGCAGAATTTTTGTTTTGACAACATTCTCATGAAGAGTGATGGCGGGCAAAAATGAGATAAAGATCAACACACATCTGCCTTCCCTTTTGTGAGACACTCAGACAACAGTTTTGTGGAAAACCTCAGTTTATTGAACAGATTTAAGAAATAGTCAATGCCCCTGTTAACACCAAAGTAAAGTGAACTATCAGTCTGTCTCATAGTGAAGACCTCCTGAAATAATATGTGTCAAATGTGGGCTAAAAATGCTAAAAACATGATCGAAATGTGATCCAATGTTATATTCAATGTTATTCATACCACATTCATATCAGACACGCAGTTTTCTTAGATATTCGTCAATATTTCTGAAGTGCTTCAGTGCTTCCTGTTAAGATTTGTAAAGATAGAGAACTCCTCAGATGTTTACACCCGAGAGTGAAAATGTGGCTGTATGCGGAGGTGGAACTTTAACGTCTTGAAACAGGGTTGCGCTTTTTCGGTTTTATGAAAGGGAAGCACTTTTTTTAGCTAATGCAGGCTCAGTAGATGAGTCAGTAGAAGTCATGCATTTAAAAACGTGGACACAGAGCTGATGGTTGAAATGATTAGACATCCGAGGAGACATCGGTTAGCACAAAAGCAGAGAGTAAACGACTGATGAACCATTCATGTTTTCCTTTCAAATGCGATTTTTCAGAGTTCGACCCTCCGTCCAATCACACGCCGTGTGTGATGCAGATGCAGAGCCTCACGGGGGCCTTCCTCTTCTCCCTGGAGTCCCAGACCACCATTGGTTATGGTTTCCGCTGCATCACCGAGGAATGCCCAGTTGCCATCATCCTCCTCATTGTCCAGCTGGTCATCACCATGCTCATGGAAATCTTCATCACTGGGACCTTTCTGGCCAAGGTAGCCCGCCACACAGATCAACCCGCAAAGGGATGTAGAGATAAAAAAAGGTGCATATGGGGGGCTAACGCAGATACTCTGTGTACATTCAGTCCTATTGTATTCACAGAGCCTGATGAAAACATAATAAAGAGTATTTGATGGAAACTAGCATAACTCAAAGCAAGAGGGCTCCTGGTTGGAGTTTGCACGCTTTCCCACAGTCCAAATAAATGTGCATGTCCGGTCGGGAGTAAGCGTTGTGGACAGTGGACGGAGGGGTAGCACTGACTGAACGTGTCCTCCTCAGCTTGCGCGGCCAAAGAAGCGAGGCGAGACGGTGAAGTTTAGCCAGCACGCGGTGGTGTCCACCCACGAGGGCCAGCCCTGCCTGATGATCCGGGTGGCCAACATGCGCAAGAGCCTTCTGCTGGGCTGTCAGGTGAGTGCACACGTAGGACTTCCGGTCTTCTGACCGTCATGACTCAGTGTGCTCTGGGTCTGTGAACAGTGAGTGTGTCCTTAGTCAGATGGCGTCTTTCAGGAGTGTGACGGCGTGAATATCTGAGTCATTTTGAGATGTGTAAGACTAACGCTGTGAAACAGTCTGTTTGTAACCGAACCATTAGTCAGTAAATACAAACAGAGCGAAGAAAAACCTGGACCTGGAGCTCTGGCTTGGTCACCAACGAGGACCTTGCTGTTGGCTTTTAAACACTCCAGAAAAACAGACGTCAAACCGCCAGCTGATGTTGTCAGTGTCCCATTTCGTTGTGAAGGGAGCAGCCCTCAAAGTGCCGCCTGTTCCCCTCAGGTGACGGGCAAACTTCTCCAGACGTCCCTGACAAAAGAGGGAGAGACGGTGCGTCTGGACCAGAGGAACGTGCCCTTCCAGGTGGACACCTCCAGCGACAGCCCGTTCCTCATCCTGCCGCTCACTTTCTACCACGTCATCGACGAGAAGAGTCCGCTGCAGGCCTGGGCTGCCAAGGGTGAGCTGGGCCCAAAGCTCCAAAGGGGTTTCAGGATTCAACCTCTTAACTTGTTCTAGGACGGTCAAACAGCTTTCTTGACATCTCAGAACTAGAGGAGAGCAGGGCGGGGTCTCAAAACTATCATTTGAATGAGCAGAATGAGTGTTTTTCCAGTTTTCCAGACAAACACAAAAAAATAGGAGAAACATCATTGTAAAGTCAACTTTTGTAAAGTCCCTGGACATCAATGCAGGATGCCATTTACTTATTAAAAGTCAACTTTAATCAAGTAGATTTCAGAATATCTAGCTAAGTGAAAATCACACATATATATCGTATCCACTGACAAAAGTCATTCTCTCAGTTTAGTGATCTTTTTTCCTTTAACAGTTTTAAACTTTTTAATCTTCTGCTCTGACTTCCCACTTCTTCTTTTTTAAGTTCGGTGATATCAGATGATGCCAAAAATATCCCGAGCGGAGGGGAAAGAGGGGGTGGGGGTAGTAACTTGACGCCTTGCTCAACCAAGAAGCTTCATTCTCTGAAATGAGATCACTTATTTAACCTTTTTTTCTTCACGTCCTTTGCCGCACAGTGCTTCCTTGCCGACGTTTTCCTCTACTCAGATCCAGTTTTTGTTTCCTTCTTTGTGTAGACTCATAAAACTGTCCAGAATAAATTCTTGCACCAGCTCTCAAGATGCTCTTTGTTGTGTTAATCAAAGTGCCTTTGACTTACACATTTATATCATATTTATGTGACATTTATAGATGAATTCTTTCTTCTTTTATGTGCCAGCTCATTTTAGATTCAACAACCCTCTCATGTCCTTCCTTCAGGTGGGGGCTGGACGGATCCAGACCTGGCTGACTTTGAGCTGCTGGTGATCATGAGCGCCACCGTGGAGCCCACCTCCGCCACCTGCCAGGTGCGCACCTCCTACCTGCCCGACGAGATCCTGTGGGGCTACGAGTTCCCCCCCGTGGTCTCCCTGTCCACGTCTGGCAAGTACGTGGCGGACTTCTCCTTCTTCGACAAAGTGGCCAAGACCAAGACCACCCCCGTCTTCAAGGCCTCCTGCCCGGAGCCCGGGTACCATAGCAACGGGGGCGGGCCCGTGTCCGAGGCCTCGGACCCGGAGAAGATCCGCCTGGAGCAGAGCTACCGGGAGCAGAGGGGCGAGGAGCGCGGCCGCGTCCGGGAGGCCCCCCTCAGCGTCAGGATCAGCAACGTGTGAGCCGAGCCCACCCCAACCGCCGCCCAGGAGAGAGAGCCCCCCCCCAAAAAAGAAAGAAAGACAGGAGACGCTCAAGTGGAGCGTCAGTAGCTCACCGGGGGACACGGTTCTGCACGACTAACTTCAAAATGTATCACGAGGATGTAAAGAGAACCCCACAGGGGAACTGAAGACCACTGTACGTTTGCTGGGATGCGAGGCGCTTTCCGCTGGTCATAACACGGCCCGAGCCCAGAACCCATCCCCAGCTGAATACGCTCTCTAAGTAAAAACAAGTAACAGGTTAAATAACACAACAAAGCAAGCAGAGAACAGGATGGAGATCTTAGTGTGTGTGTGTGTGGGTGTGTGTGGGTGGGTGGGTTTCTGAGTAAATCCTCCCAGTAAGTTGTTGGACAGTCAGAGGCTGACTCACAAAGCAGTGTGGGTCTGTTTCCAGATATTTTTAAGTTTAGCAAACCACAGATGCTAATGAGTGGTTAAAACACCAACCTTTAAGTGGAATTTGAACAAATCAGACAGGAAAATGTATTGCACATGAACAAAGACACAACAGATGAGTTTGAGCTACATTGAGACAAACTTGTGCAGTCGTTTGTAGCTAAAACTGATCCCACCCTCAACTTCCTCTGTCATACTGCTTCATTTCCTGTAAAAAACACTGATGAGAAGTGTATTTTGAGCGTTCTGTCGGCATAGTGTTGCACCACATCTGGACAGTAGACATGATTTAACGTTTTCCTCTCTCTTCCACCCTTGAATGTTATAGGTACTTCCTATTGTGTGATATGTCTGACAGTTGTTGCTGTTTCAAAACAAGATTTTAGCACTTTATGTGAGTCCTCCCTGTACATTTGTGCCCCTCAGAGGGATAGCTGACAGCGTGTGAAACGTGCACGAGGAAGAAAGCTTTGCAAGCAACTAGACATTGAAAATCCCACCTGTTGGAGTAATTGTTCACCACAGAGATAACTGCATCCTGCAAAGCTGAATACGATTGCTGTTTCGAGCAAACTAACGGAGGAAAACATGTTTTTTAGATGATCGCTCGCACTTATTGCACAAATGTAGATGCAAGTGCCCTTTTGGTGGTTGCATTTGTGGGTTATACATTGGATAAAACTGAGCATTCAGCCTTTACAGATTAGTTTTACATGCTAACACTATCAGATTAACAGAAAAAGGTCATTTTGTCTTGGCCCCTCTTCATCCAGTCCAGACATGACACTAAAGCATAAGCCGGTCACTAAAGGAAGGCGAAAGCTCAAATGTGAGTGTTTTAACTCGACCTCATGGAAACTAGGCATATCTATTAATTTTTTAAACACTGGCGTAAATTCCTGGAGTTTTCAAAGTGCAGAGGGAGCCCGAATGAACTGAATCTCGAAGAACTGACTTAATAAAGCTGTTTATTAAATTTGATATGTGGCCATGAGTCTTTTATTGAAAAGTTGAAAACCACTAAATGAGTCACAGTGTGTGTGTGATCACACATTCTGAACCCTGAAAGAGTGATCTGACAAAAAAGGGGGAGGAAACAAAGCGAAGACTGAGTCTTACTGCCATTTACTAGTTTTGACAGCATGGCAGCTGCTGTTCTTCTGCTCATGGTCTCTCTGCTGCATTTGCTCGCAGCACAAGGTAAAAGCTCATTTTTCTTACCGATTGTCTTTTATTGTTTATTTGTAGCAGTATAGTATGTCAGCAAACATTTAGAAATATATTGTATTTTTCTTCTTAGACGCTAATGAAGAACTTCCTCTTATGTGTACATATATGTAGATACATAAAAAATTATCCAGTTTTTGGTCAACTTTCAGTGGATCTTGGTCCCTTTCTGCAAACTTAATGGCAATGTTTACATTTACAGTTAATGGAAGTTAGCTTTGGTTCGTTGGCATTAAACAATATTTTGTGAGAAAAGCCCCCACCCAGTTTCACTCTCTGAAACCAACATGCAGAGAGTGACGGATAAAGAAAACAAAAAAAGAGAGAACTTGATTTTTGAGCACTTTGACAATCACCATACTGGCTTCAGCCTAAAAATAATTTGTATATGATGTCCAGTGATGCTAAATGATTGAGGAAATATTGAGGATTTAGAAAAATTGATGAATGGATTATTAATAGGTCTTAAACAAAGAGGCTTACTTGTAAATGCATTGCTGAAATATTACTCAAAAGGATGCCCTTTCAAGATGTCTACTTGGTATTTTTTATACTATAAATTTCTTTGATGTACATACACTGCTTGTACACACACTTGGGATACTTTTATTTCAAAATTCATTGATTTACAGCAGTTATATTTGGTTTCTGTTCTTGAACTACTTGAGCTGTCATTTATGGTTCCCATTTAAGCGTGTATGGTCAGCGCTGTGTATGAATAAATATCTGATTAAACATATGATAAAACATAATTTTGTGGTAACCAGTCCCATGTAGCCATTTGGTAATGCTAAGATTATCTAAAGAAGCTGCAACAGAGAAAACTTTAAAAAAAATATTTTTCTAAAATTCTGTCAGAAATCAACGTACCAATCACTGAAAAATCATACAGGATATACTATAATATGTAAAATATCATAGTGATAAATCTGCCCTAAAGATCTTTTTCAATTGAATAAATACAGAATTACATTTCTTTCTTTTCAAAACTTTTTAAATTTTTATTTCTGCTCAAAACTTACATGATGAAATGTTTCAAGTGATTTTTTTTCAATCTCAAACTATAAAAAGTATTAAATCAAACTAACATTTGTTACAATTCTGCAGTGATGGGAGTTTTACAGTGACAGAAAGGACTTAACTTGGCTCAAAATGCCTCATACTGTGTTACAGACTGTATTGAGTCACACATTGCTGTGGAAACTATATGTGTCAGTATTACCATGTTTGAAAGCAGTTTTGCATCAGCTACATGTTTCATTTAGCATGCTGCTCATAGTACTAGAAAAGCAGCTGTTTTAAAAAGGCACGTTTTGCATTTATTTAATATGCACAGTCAACTGTGTCCGGTGAGAGAAACGTCCAGCTTTGGAGAGCAAAGTTCATTTCACCGAACCTACAGTTGGATTCCTAATGTTCTGAGTGACCTGGTTCAAATAAATGTGAAAGAAAAAAAATGACTTCAAGAATAATGAAACATTTTAGATATGTGTTTGCTGTCACAAGATCCCTGGTGATGATTATGATTCTAATATTTGTTCTTTTGGAAATGTTCTTTTAGGACCGGGAGTTCTTTTTATTAAGAGTGGATCAGACTTACTTCTGGATGCAAACACAACTCTTAGAATTTCAGAAAATGCTTTTTTGGTATGGAAATTTAAAGAAATACAGAATATTGTACGATTTATGTTCGGTTCTCAAAATGCAACACTCCATCAATCATGGCGTGACAGAGCTCGGCTTTTCAAAACAAATTACTCCTTGCTATTAAATAAAGTCACAGTCAGTGATAGTGGAAGCTACGGTGCACTTTTCAGTGGTGACGATGACAAATACGTGGCCAAATACAAAGTTCAAGTCCAAGGTAGGTTTGTTTTTCTCGGTATCTTTTTCCATTATAGTTAGTAAACACTGACATGCACTAAAACCTTTCCTATGCAATGTTGTTTTTCTCAGATCCAGTGTCTCCCGTTCATCTGACAGTGAGCTCCAGCAGCTCCTCCTCCTTGTCCTGTAACCTCACAGTGACCTGCAGCACAGGGAACTCAAACATCCATGCGGCTATCCAGTGTCATAACCAAACCTGCTCTCTAGAAAACAGCACGATGCATTCGCCTCATCTATATATCTACCTGGAGAGTGACCACATCATCTGTAACCATAGCAACCAAGTCAGCAGGGAGACTAACAAAACTGAGATAAAATCTTATTGTTCAACAAAACCAGGTAAGATTTAAAGCCCTAATACAAAGTAGTGAAGTGTTTTCCAAATGAACGTTAATATCAGAAGATTTCTTTTAACAGTCTTCGTGTCTGTGTTAGTAGAAACTGGATGATATTTAACAAGATCCATTTTTTCTCTTTTGGGGGGAAATGTTCACTTCCAGCAAAGAAAACACTAACAATCAGCAATTAGAAAAAATACACTGATTTCAGTCTGCATGAATTCACTTCCATCATGGACCCAGTTCTCCTTACATTGTTAATGACAAATAAAATTAATGGGAAAATGTAACTAAATGTTCTGCCCATTTGGTCAAATAGTCTGTGTAAATGAAAATAAAATCATTAAGTGATATTATGTCTTCTTTTTTTTTTTAGAGTTTAGGGACCTTTGAATTTCTGAGATAATATTACATCTATATGTATTTCTCTCTCTCTTATTCTATGTATGTGTCCCACTTCAGCTCCTAGTAGTGCCACAACAATTGGGATTGGGGTGATAGCAGGTCTGGCCGTCCTGGTTTTGGCTGTGGCTGTAATCATAATATGTAAGTCTGTGAGTTTTTTGTATTATCCATCCATCCATCCATCCATCCATCCATCCATCCATCCATCCATC